TGATTTGAATTTTGAATTTGAATTAAGATATTGCGCAACATGGTTGCGAGGAGACCAGGCGGAAAAAGCTGCACTGAGCAGCTTGAGGAGAACCTTGCCACCTCACACACTGAGCTGCTACAGCAGTTCAAGACATGCCCTATACCTAATGCATGAACAGAATAGCAGAAACAGTAAGCAAACCCGGTAAGAAATAATGAACAGGGTATTGTGTAAACATTGGAAAAACCGAGGGAAAAAATACCCGTAGTGATGAAGACAGCAAAAAACAAAAAGAAACAACAAGTGAACCTACGGCAACACAGGCAATCATACGAATATGTCACGTAGGCTTTTCAGCGACAGAGTGGATACATGGAGACCGTTTTCTTTGTGCAACCGATTTAGAATAGTCGGTAAACAAAACTGTAGCATTTGGTCACCGTATACCGTTCTGTTTTTGTTGACAATCCAAAGTTCTATATGACGACATTTATAAAAGCAATTATGGTGCTGTAAGGATGCTAGTTGTATTGAATAGTCATAATTCTTAATTTTTCTCAGTCTGTACATGCGACAAGGCCTATATGCATACAAAGTTTCAAGTTTTATGGTACTAATCTTTGTGGACAGAGTAGCAGTATGCCTAAGATATGGCACCCTGAAAGCAAGGCGTATAGCTCTTTTTTTGTAGTGCCTTGAGTCGCTGAACATTTTATAATGTCGTGGTCCTCCAGACTAGAATTCCGTATTGTACCAAAGAAAGAAATATTGAACCATATAAAATTTTAATAATGAATGCGGGAAGATAACTGCAATCGCGACGATAGTACCTATTGCTCTAGATAATTTACCAACTAAGTAGTTCACCTGGCAATTGCATGATATAGTTTCAGAGAAGTATACGCCAAGCGATTTGAAAGACCGCAGAATTTTTATTTCAGTATTGTTTAATTTAATGGGGCTTAATTGAAATTGTTTATTACGCGGATGAAACATTTCTGCTTTTGTTTTACCTACATTAATTTTAAGATATTTGCTTGTTGCCCACTTGTGTATACTTGCTAGCGTCTGATTGGCTCGATTTGACATTTCAGAACACAAGTCACCCTCAAAAAACGTACTTGTATCGTTTACACAAATTACGCACTTTGCCGATGGGTCAACATTTACGATGTCATTTATGTACAATATAAAGAGGTACGGACCCAATATGCTCCCCTGCGGGACGCCTGTTGTGGCGGATTTCAACTCTGAATGGTCCCCAACTATATCTACGAATTGGCATCTGTAATGAAGGTACGATGTAATTAGAGAATGAGCTACGCCTCGGATACCATAGTGATGAGTGGGCGAAGCAGTGGGATATCGTTTGGTATTACCGCAAAGTTACCTGCGACACTGACCACTGACGCGTGTAAATTAGTGACAAAGTGGTGTACAATTATGGCATAATGGTATACGATGTGTGGATTTGTGGGTTTTGTTTTGAGTTCGTTATTATTACTGCTTTCCGCTTTGTGGTCCGTGAAATGTAGAGCCAGTGGTTCATCCATCGCATGGAGCCCGAAGTTGGCAATGACGAGGTCTATGCACGTTCCCCTGGTGATTGTATAGGTTGTTTCCAGTCATACGAAATGCATCGTGCAGTGAATCGAAATGTTCGAACCAGTCGTTGTCCGCGATATTGAAGTCTCCGAGAAATGCGAAGGGGTTGTTCTTGCACTTTGTTCCATAATCGAGCGTGGCTAAATTGATGTGCTTTGCCTCGGGAGTCATTCGGGGCCAAGTATATTGTCATAACGATGGTTCCATCGGACGCGTTTATTGCAGCGTGTTCGCCGCTGTCAGATTGGCTCGTTTTTGGTAGGTTGTGCCCTAAGCTCCGAGTCCGCGCTTGGCTTGTTTTGCTGCTACTGCTTCCAGAGCTCCCGTCTCCTGGACAGCATGTCGGAGTACCCGTTCAGCCAGCGCTTAGCGCACCCATAAACTCCGAGTCCGCAAGGAGTTTTAGATGTGAAACATCTAAACACTTTCAGTTCGGGGCCGGGTATTAGGAGATTTAACACTGCAATCGCAATGTGTGATTTGTCGACAAATTTGTTTTCATGAGTTTGCACTTCTATACGATGAGAAATATTAAAACTGTCCATTCTATCAGGCACCAAATTAATTTATCATTTTTATCTTTGCCAAGTTTAACCTGTGTACACTGTTGGTCCGTGCATTGTGCGCGCTGACGTGAAGGAGCTGATATGCGGCAGAGAGCCCAGCGAAATCCTGAAGCTATAACCACGCACGTCGCTGAAAAAAAAAAAACGAGAAAAAACATTGGTGCATCGTTTGTGTGTGTACTACGTAAATTACGTTTAGTATCGTCCTGCTTTTGGCAGTTGCTTGGCTTCGTTCAAGCAGTCGGTAAATGCGCTGGCATGAATGAAATTCCATAGGCGAAAAAAGGGTGCAGGATTTGTTCATAAAACTGCACTTCATTTGAGTTAAGTGCAGAGCACACTTTGCGTGTTGTTTAAGCAACATCAAACATCTATAGAGCCTATTTTATATAGTTCTTGAGAGCGTTGTTTTCTTGGATTGCTCTTCTACATAGAGCCCCACCGCGGTGGTCTAGTGGCTAAGGTACTCGGCTGCTCACCCGCAGGTCGCGGGATCGAATCCCGGGCTGCGATGGCTGCATTTCCGATGGAGGCTGAAATGTTGTAGGCCCGTGTGCTCAGATTTGGGTGCACGTTAAAAAACCCCAGCTGGTCGAAATTTCCGGAGCCCTCCACTACGACGTCTCTCATAATCATATGGTGGTTTTGGGACGTTAAACTCTACAAATCAATCAATCAATCTCTTTTACAAAGAGAAGCTTCTTTAAAATTATTGGGAAATAAAAATCTTCACTCATATTTAAACTTCCTGCAATTTCTTGTTCTATATAACTACTTTATGAATTCTTGATTTGATGGGAACTGTAAAGCTTCGGAGCATTCCACACTAAGTTCCTCACTTAGTTTTCTTGACGACCATGTATATAGAAGTAATCGCACCGAATGATTCTACATCAGCGGCTTAATTGCAAGATTCGCCAGATGCCCTTGTGCGGAATGCTGTACGAAACTTCGCCCTGCACCGTCTTTCATGGCGTTCGGATTTATGACTACTGAAGTTTGAGCGAAAATCCCTAACGTTTTCATTCCGCTAATTGTACTCTAAGTATTGTACGATGCACAACGAAGATGTAAAGCTGGAATCGCAGTTTGGGGTTTTTTCGATCAATGACTGGTGGCCTTCCTGATGATAGGTCTAAGAAAGGATTGTTTTTTCTTGATGCCGTATTCTTCTGTTCTATAAAATGTGTTTGTGATTGTCCGAAAGTGTTTACGAAGCTAAAAGGAGATAGCATTTGTAGTGGTTTAATTGTTATTGGTTGGCGGCTGCCTGGAGGCTACAATATAATGGTTGTCCAGCATGTATTAGCTAATTACAAAAATCGTCTTCCAGCTTTCATCCTGCACTTGCGTCTTATATGAAACATTACACTGCAACTGCCCAACATGAGCATGCCGGGACACACTGCTGATCTTGGACGGCGCACGAGAGTGTAATATTTGACGTTTAAGTGAAACGGGGAAAGAGCAGCGATTGAATTAGTGAAAGCTTGTCTCTTATTTCTTGCCGATTACCTGCGCTATAAACTGTATTCCTTAATTATACTGCGGCTAGCAAGCTCATTTCACGCTGTCAATGTGTAGCGTTCTGTAGTTTCCACATGCATATGCAAGATCAAAACTGAAAGTCAATTTCCGTTATTAGCCAATTAATGCCGAGCATACATACACCATCCAAACAGGCGCCAAGCCATACAGCCTAAGCAACATCGTCTTTCAGCTTTCGTTTTATATGACTTCAAACGCTCAGAAAAGCATTTAAAGGAACAGAAGATTGGCGATTTAAGATATTTAGTCAGCTGTCACAATTACAGTACAGTATACCAAATCACAATCTGACTTTATTCGACTCTCATTCAACCTGCCTCATAATGCTCAGAAACTATATGACAGCTATAGTTGTCTAGAAAACACCTCTTGTAGAGGAAACAAAGATCACCATACGGCAATTCGAAATTTTACGTGAATTCTCATACGTCTATTGGATGATAGCGTGATGTTGCAAAGTAGAAAAAGAAACAATTGAGATGAGTATGTTACTATTCAAGCATGTTTTTCTTTCTTGTGTCAATTTGTGCATGATAAACAAGGAACGACATTTTCTTGGTTGGAGAGTGGCACAGAAAAAGGATGAAATCTGCATTTCGTAAATCGGGTGATGAGTTGTGGCAAATGTTCATACTTGTATAGCACAAACGTCACGCACCCATTTTTGCTGCAATTTCCGCACACAAGCGCAGGTCGAGAACGAATACAGTAGAAGACGCAAGCGCCGCATTAAAGATATTGTTGTCTTCGAGGAAGAGCCGACCGAGCGACAACAATATGTGCACACATGTACGCATGTAATCTAATTAAGGCACGAGGGGCCAGCGACCACGTACGCCCACACGGATTTATCGAACACGATAACGTAAGCCTGTTGTTTGCATTCTCATGGAGGGCAGCTCCTGTTTCATCTCGCTTTGTTTTCTTCTCTGCCTTCTTGATCGGACCGCGGCTTGTTCTTTAGTGCCCATAGACTTGTCCGTCGATACAGGAGGCTTCACTTCGCTCCGGCACAGTGCCACATAGCTGATTCCCAATTCATTATTATAATACGGCCGCCCGACAGGCATATTTATCGTGGCAGGCCACGGAGTGGCTGGACAAGGTGAAGGAGAAGACTTCGTGTTTGCGCCGATCTAAATAAAAGTGCGCCCTTTCATCATGTTACGACGTCGGTATCGTCGCCCCCCCCCCCCCCCCCCCCCCAGCCTTGCTTCCACGAGCTGTTGACTTTCGCGAGCGACTAGTTATAAAAGGGACCACAGCACGGGGCTGGGTTTGTATCCCTGACTGCCCGAGCAGAGCACCGCTTCCTTGAGCATGTGTTTCCAGTCGTCCCTGTCTGTCTTGTTGCTGTGCTTGGCTTTGCTAGTGGCCAGCGCCTATTCTGCAGCGTTTGGTGAGTCACACCTGGAGCTCTGCGAGTCTGAATTTCACGGGACTAAGTGACGCGCACCGTTTTTTTTTTCATATGTTCTTTATGTTGTCTTAGAGGATAACGCCGACAATTGTCACGAGGATACAATCGAGGCAAATATTCATCGTCTGTAGAAATTACCTCGTCGGTGGTGATAATGAATGTGATACTGCGCACGAAGTGTCTACTCACTGCGGACGTACCAGAATCTTGAAAGAGCACTATTATCCAAGTACATGAGAAAAAGGACGTGAAGGACTTGAAAAATTGAAGGCCGACAAGCTTACCATTCATTGCCTATAGGCTGTAGTTACAAAGGTAATATAGCTATAGATAAGAGAATTCGCGCCACGCTAGAATTCGAACAATGGAAGGGCCAAGCAGGATTTTATGCTGGCTCAATAGGCCATATTCAAACTACCCATTAGGTGATAGAGACATGCACGGAATATAGAACCACTTTACATATCCTTTTTAGATGGTGAGAAAACAATGGAAACGTCAGTAGTCATCAAGGCGCCACGGTATCAGGGAGTAGAATAACCACATATAAAAATACCGAAATACTGGAAGAAATCTGTACCGGCTCTGCAGCCAACGTAATTCTGAATAAAGAGAGCAATTAAATTTCTATGAAGTATGCTGTAAGGCGAAGATGTAAGCTGTCTCTCTGATAACATGATCTATATAGGCTGCTTTCAGGGAAACTACGCTGAGCGTTGGTTGATGCGAGTTTAGTCTTGTAATTACATGTCTTGTGAAGTAGCACAAGGACTTCCAATGTCTACTGACGAATGCTTGAAGCTTGTAAATACATTAGTTTCTGCTACAATTACACTTCCGCGATGTTGGCGCTCCACGAGGCTTGTTTTCCATTGGCAGTCCGGGACAGGATGTGACCATGCACTCACGACCGCTTTCAAGAAACCACCTCATCGTGTCCTGTGCTGAGCACTTATAGATAGCGATATAACTAACAAAATGTCATATTAACTGAGTTGTTAAGTGTATGTACCCGTGGTGTCGAAAGTTCGCACGGCACTATCTATGCGCTTCTCTCGAAGCATGGCCTGCGAACAATCTCAAAGAGAGGCTCGGTATCTTGGGCTGCCGTTAGAAACTCTTTGCGCAGCAGTAGAGTTTTAGTACACGTGCACGGTGTTTTTGTCCTTTGTAATTTTACCATAGCCATGACGAAATAAATAATTTGCGATATTAAACTCCAATATGCACACCATCGTCCATGTTCCGGAAAGCCGGGGCCACCAGGTCTGCGGGTCGTTTCTGAATATTCCGGGGAGGATTTTTGGTGCCTCCACTCTCTTAGAACAGAAACCTTGCTAGTTCAGTGGCTTGAGTAACGCGCTACTGAGCTTAAGGAAATGATTACAATATTCCGCCATGACGCGTCCACATCTCAAGCGAGGCTAAGCGCAAAGAAACCCGTGCTTCGGAGCACATGACCTCCGGTGAAAAAAAATTCCCGAAGTCACTCATTACTACTTCACTTAGGATCGCGCAACATGACTTTGTAATGTAAAAGCCTTGAAATTAAATTGAAATATACGCAAACACTTCACCAATTGTACGCTTCGTCAGTTAGTTGTTTACGTATATAGTTAGCTGGCCCTGTATTGTTTAGTGGGGCAGAAATAACTAAGGCATTGACGAGATCCGCTAGGTAATAGTTATTTGAGTATGTTTTGGTGGATATACATCTTTGTTAGTTCTGTCGCGAGAAGTACCTTTATAACTATGGTAATTACCTAGAATATGCTAAAAAAGCAGTGATGTTCGCTATGAACACGATGATAGTAACACTCTTTTATTTAGGCTTGGTGTAGTAATGCACAGTGTAATGATCCTCCATTTAAGCTACCGGACACGGTCACAAATTTATCGTGTTCAGGCTTACCTAACGATGCCGTAATTTTTGGTGGAATTATGAAGCCTATTAACATAAAGCTTGTATTATTATATTATGGTAAAATCACTTATCATGTTCGTTGGCGTAGGGTGCTTTGCATATTTTCTTTTTAACGTAGCAGCTGACTAGCGAACTGCGCACTAATGTGGGGAAACTTTCTGCTGTAGTCGGTGCTTAGTCATGCTGCCGTTTTTTCTGGATGTACGAAATGAACTTCACTTTATTTAGAAATATTTTATTGATATAGTAAACATTGTACTAGCATTCGCTTACAGCTAAAGTATGTTTCACAGAGATTTTACAGCTAGACAAGAAGATTATTCAATGCGTAGCTTATTCGTCTTTGTTTGCCTCAACCAAAACTGCGCTTCAGGAGTTTGGTATTGCCAAAATGCAATGCTTGCAGAACTTCTGACCTTTAGTTTTTTTTTTCACTTGCTTTACTTCAGCCGCTTATTGTTTCTAACAACTGCTTTATCCAAAACTCGTACAACAAGTGTGCAAGGAATACTGATTCATGAAGTATGCCTTGTTTCCGCATCAAATGCAAAATCCTCGCACTTCAGCAAATGAATGAAGGTACAGTCAAAGTGCTTGCGTCAGCAAAAACGATTGTCCCTACTTTTGGCTTCCCTACCTTCATGGGTCATACCATTCCATGACTGCGCTTTCCCTTAATTTATACAATGCCGCTTGTGCAAAGTCATTCTTTCATGCGCATGTAAAACCGATAATACACTTTAAAACGAAACTGAACACGTCCTCTGGGTAACGATATGTGCTACGCTCACTTACTAGAGTTCACGAAGATTTTCAAGCATGTAAGTGATATAATCCCAAGCCCTCTATGCGTGAAATATTGCGTTCACCTTTCATGAACGTTAGCTAGTCTATAGAAATTTTGTTTTTATCTCAAAATGATACGTGGCGTGTTGCCGTTGTAAAGGTATTTGCGAAGATTATGTCAAAGAAGTGCTGAACAATCATTCATACGCATGGCAAAAAACAAACAAACAAAAAAACGTGACTGATTTCTCCATCACAAGAATCAGTATAACACGAAAGTAAAAAGAGATTCGAAGAAGTAGTCAATATTGCGTAGTGATTACGAGACTTAGTACAGTGCCTGTTGGTGTTTGGCAGCTATCGCACCTTCTGATGTTGACGCCTAGCGGTACATCTCCATCGCGACGACTAACGCCTATGATAATGGTTTAAGCATTGTTGTTGCAGAATTTCTTTAACCGACGCCAGGACACAGTATATTGCGAATCGCGCGTAAAGATGGCTTGAACACGCACGTAATGAACACGGGTGCCGTGCACTTCTTCGAAGCGTCGTCTATTCAGGAGGGAAACGGTACGGCGTGCGCTCCAGAGCGATGTGGAAACCTATATCCTGTGCTCATGCATACCACAACGCGCACCGCGGAAGGAAGACGTCCGTAGCTTTAACCGCAAACACGCGCAGGTGTTTCAGATCCCGCCGGCCTCCGTATTGTTCCACTATAAGGCACCACATACCGCTGCAGCTTTGTTAGTCGGTGCTATACATTACTCGAAGTAATCGGCGGCGAAATACCGTCGGTGCATGTGGAAGTTGCACTGCTCCGTCAACGAACCAAACAACATAACCATAGCATAACCAGAGACACATAACTGCGTGAAAGGGGACTCCCCGATGCTATTGCGCCCAGTGTTTGTTGCTACTATCGAGACCCTTAAACCATGACCTCTGAGATTGCGCGCCGGCGCGCGATCTCGGGCGACATGGTTTAACTGCGTCGTTGTCGAATCATTGTTTTATCGGCGCTAGTGTCATACCGCATTAGCTCTGTTCAACGCTCAAAGACGGTGGCACCGCGCCACCCAGCGAACAGAGAGCACCGAGCGAGAGAGAATGTGCGAGACATATAAGGCGCGTTTGTAAAGTGCCTTTCGCCTACTTTGATAGCCCAGTCGGTATAGATGTCGGGCGCATACCGTCGCGGGTCGAGAAGTCGGAGGTTCGATTCCGAGCTATGCGAACACGGGAGCTTTATTATAAAAGCTTTGACTTTCTCGTTTGATGGGGTTAATTTTATCAACGTTGTATTCGTTATGGAAGTACCTCTCTAAAGTTTTGGTGGACCACGGCGTTAATTTCGTGTTAAAATACGTACAACAGAGAGCAGGCCCTATAAAAGCCGCTCAGCCTAATATTGCAGCAGTGTGCATAGTAGAAGTTGACAAGCCGAGTGCAAAGTTTCCACTTTCTCAAACGCCCTCTTTTCATGCTCGTATACACACTCACTTTGGAGGGCCGTCAAACAGCAGATTTTTCGTCACTCAACGGATTGCCGCAGTTGAACGATAGCTGACATAGGCCAGGATTGGTTTTTGAATCAGATGCTTCTTGACACGGGGTTCCAGCTGTTGCCGTGCGCCACGCCCTACGTTGTGCTAAAGTTACACAGTGGTGACACTGGCGCGCACAGAATTGCACCGAGAGTGTGCGCTCAAGTCGCACGCTCGAGGTAAACAACGCGTGTGAGAAGTGGCTTCTCTTCTCCCGTGCCATCCTTTCCTGTGTAGCTTCCAGGACGCTCGTTGGGATGAAAGAAGAGAAAAAAGTGCGTACAACAATTCGTTGCAACTATTCACTCATTCTTGACGAATTCACACACCCCCTCCCCTAAAAAAGATTTGCAGCATTTGATTTGCGAGGCAATAAACTACGATACTGAGGTGAATCGATGATTACGTGATAGAGTGAATTAGGACCCTTTAAGCTGCGCAGACTTGTTTTTACCCCAAAAAGCCTTTTAATCTTTTAATGTGCATGGTGAAAATACATGCCATATGGTCTATCTTAACTTGATTTGCAAGTTTAAACCTGCTGGACAAAAGCACCACCTCGCATCGACCTGAGTTGTACAAGTGTGTAACACAGGGCATTCGTCTGGTCTAGAGATGGCAAGATTACCCCTGAATTGTAATTAAATTAGATGTACTGATGATTTTTCTAAGATTTTTATCAAATTTATTTACATTAGACAGCAAACTATAGCAGGTGG